TATTAACATAATAGATGGCACACGCTCTTTTGGGCTGGTACTTTGGGGAGTTCTGCTTTTTTTTTTGGGACTGGGAGCTGCAATTATGTTTACTCTATTTGAACAGGTTTAATGGATGAGAACGAACCAAGTACCTGTCTGGCATAACTATGATATTTATGCGTATATTTAATCAAATATTCATATGAACTCCCGTCAATATTTGCATCCATAATGTAAAGTAAGTGAAGAGAGAAATCTTTGTTAGGGTAATTCCCAAATGCTTAAAGAACCTGCTAAGCAGAGTACCTAATATATAAGGCCTATGTTTGAGGAACTTTTCCACTTACATCTGGCATGCCTGCTTTCCAAGAAAAAGCTGACCTCAACTCTACTTAAAGTCACTCAGTTTTGATTATTCCGCTTGAAACTATATTTCGTCATGGCTTCCTTTCGCCTTTCGCCAAACCAAACTTCTTGATGGCACTTAAAGTCAGGGCTCTTCAGGCCGCCTCTTACCCTTTTGAACCCTGGCATTCGACATGGCAGCCGAAAAATAGTTGCTGCCCCAGCCAAGAGACCAATAACTTGTGCCACAGACTTGCCACAGACAGAAGGTTCAGTCAACTGCTCGACCCGTACAAGTACATGCGATATCTACGTATGAGTGATGACTCTTTGCAAAAATCTATAAATCTTGTCAAGCAGATGCCCCTCTATCCCCAACGACCCTCGCAGGCCTGGCCCAAATTGTTGGGCTTGAAGCGTTTTCGCTATTTCTACATATTTTGTTTTAGGGGGGTCAACGTCGACGCATTTGCAACAAAATTAACACAAATTTTCACACAAATCGCACGTGGCAAGGCCCCGCTTCTGTGGCAAGCTGATTGCGTCTAATGTTCGTCCGTTTTGGGTGTCGTGCATAATCGTTAATGAATTATGGAGCTGCATGCAAGCGAGGCGAGGCAAGGCGAGGGCAGCAAAGACTGTTTCTAATATGCGTGTAGCACATGTTTTTGGCTGGCCTACTTCGAGTGTGTGGCTGTGTGTTGTGGGTCTTTAATGAAATTTTCCTAGAGCCTTTTGTTTTAATGCATTCCACACACCCATAAAGCGGCGCTCAGCTCTGGGTGAATGTTTTTAGTTGCCTGCATTGGGCTAAGGGCACTTTGTACCAATTTCCACCCTGGGCCTTGCGCTGGCATTAGTCACGGCCTTATCAAGGTGCTGCCATCGCTCTAGGCTTAATGTTTTTGCCAAATGGCGCCACACCTCTTGCCACATTAATTGCTTTTCATAATAATATTTAATTTCTTCAATAAATTTACTTTGCTTTTTTCGACTCCCTAGCTAAGTGCATCGTTCACACTTTGTTTGCCTGGAGACTCTCAGCTGTCTGCAACTCAAGCTTTCGCTGCATGCATAAAATATTTAGCTTCTCTTTTTTTGTACTCATTTGAATTGAAAAGCTTCTCGCAGCGATTTGTTATGCAAGTTTAGAAAACAAACAGCAAAAAAATAAAAAAAAAAGGGAAAAGCATCCATAACGAAACCTGACGCTCAAAATTTGCTGAATGCTCCGCTTGCATCTCATCGCTGCAGCTTCCGTTTACTTTCCACTCTCTTTTATATATATATATATACATATATATATATATTTTTTTTTTTTGTGAGCGTTTTTTGTTTGTTATCAACTTTGTTGCTGCTGTAAAATGTAATTGCATATGCAGCCACGCTTCAAAGCGCCCATAAAAGGAGCCGCAGCAGCTGGCTCAGCGACTCAACAGCCAGTTGCCAGCTGGCAAGTCGCAAGTGCTCCAACAGGCACTTTTTTCTCACTCTCGATACCCTGTACATGCGTAGCGTGCGGGTGAGAAGGGAAAGGGGTATATAAAATGGCATTCACTTGATGAATATTAAAAGTCACTATCTGTAGAGCCCCGTGTGAAAAACTCTTCATAAGAATAAAAAATTAACTTCAAATAATTAAAATATTAAACTTGTAGTTTCTTCTAGTACATCAAACCCAGCTAGAGTATTCTCTAGTTATTGTTATAGTATTTCATATATAGAACTTCAAGTGCTTATCTCCACTTTGCTCCAGTTCTCTGTATTATACGACCTATAGACCTATTATAACTTTTTAAAACTTCGCTATCTCTTTATTATAAATGTCCATAATCTAAGCCCCTTAATATATTACACTAAATGCAGCTGATACTATCTATACTAACTGCTGCCCAACCCAACATGCAATCACATCGAACCACTTTCAACTTCTGAGCCCCATTTTTTTACCCCAACTCGAAGGGCGGATTGGCTGCGCTTGTGTCGGAGTGAGTCAAAACTATTTTCGAAATGTTTTAAGCGATTTCACCAAAGTATTTAATCCTTTGAATGTTTTATTGCTTAGATAGTGTTTGCTTCCCCCGAACGAACAGCGGAGCGTAGCCATACAAATGTTTACGAATCTGTGTGCATTGGATACTCGTAATACCCGCGCGCATAGTTTCAACTGAAAATATTTGTAAAAAAGAGACAAGCAAAAAGCAGTTAAAACAAACAACGAAACTGAAATCTCTAAATAATAAATATATAACGAGAAAAACAAATTTCAACGTTGCATTTAAAAAGTTGTTCATTGTCATGTTGTTTCAGCTCGCTTCGATGTTTGCACACATTTTGTAGCTTTGGGCTTTGGCATTGGCTAAAAGCTGGGCACATTTAGATGTTCTATAAAACTTTGATTAAATGTTCTGATATGAGATTTATTTATGTATATATATACATATATATGCATGTATAACAGCAGTTCGAGGTCTATGCAGAAAGTAACGCTAGATACATCAAATTGTTTTGAGATTTGTGTGGCATTGCGTTGATAATCTTATCCCTAGCCTCTGCCACTTCTTTCTTGTTCCTGAAACTGGAGAAGCCCATATAAGACGATGATATGTAGATGAAGATGCCTGAACGCTATATATAATTATAGGTTATGCATAAATTTAAAAGAAATTCTTTAAAGTGGCCAAAATGGATATTCATGAATAAATAAAGATTCCAATATTTTTTTAATTAATTATAAAACTTCATAAAAAGTTGTCTTATGGCCTATAAATGCATAGCAGATCCTATGCCAGCTGAATTATTATTTTGGTATATTTATTTAAATATTAGCATACTTTAATAGCCAGTTATCCGTCTATCAGTTTTGCTTGCTCATATATGCTAAGGTATCAATCGGAAATCTTGATTTCAAGTCTTTCACAATGCAATCAACAAGTGCCTCTATATCATCACTATGTGCACCCTTAAACAGCAGTTTTTATATTATTTTTAAAATGCATTTATCACTGTGAATAGCTTGTTAAACACAGCTGCAACCACGCTCACCTATACGATACCTATACATAAATATATGTGTATATATTTATGAGCCCAACTGTTAAATACATGGAAGCCAAGCGGGCCCAAGGCCCCTCCTCATAATTGGGCTTAAAATGTACTCGTACTTGTCCCTGGGATTATGTTTTAATATTGTACGTTATTCAATATGTGTGCATAAAAATAAATGACTCGATTGCTTTGTTTTCCTCCCATTTTAAATTGCTTGTGCAGCATTCAGTTTTATGAGCGCACAAATTGATGCCGCACTGTTGATTTATTGAAATGCTTTTTACCGCTGAGCGCTACGTGTCAAAATATGAAAATTAAAATATCAACGCACGTCGGAAAATCCAGCACTTTTTCATGAGCTCTCTTAATGCAGCGCATTTATTCAATGCCGCATTTCGAGCGGCAGCCACCAGCTTAATGCAGCCAGATTTTTGGATCTATTTATTTCTCTTTTCAGCATTTTTATACGGAAAATCGGAAATCAAATGGTTTCGTTAAAATGTATGTAAATGGCAGAAGAAGGCGTGGCCGCGCCTATAAGAGATATATATTGTCTGCTTGTCCGTGTTCGAGGTGCCGAGAAGATGAAGGTTCCACTCCTGTTGTGAGTTTGAATGTTGTGGGAAATTCCTCAATTTCAGACACAAAAGACCAGGAAAGTCAACATTTTAATTAATAACAAAAATTTCGAGGCATAAATATTGAGACACAAACCTTGACCAGTTGCAGCTTCAGTGCCATTTTCATGAACTTCAATTACAGCTTTCTGATAGATTTCGTCCACAGGTACATTGGAGTCACTGATAGCGGATAGCTCAGCATTTCTGCTAAATATGCTGCTGAGACCCACTTATCACTTGTCTCAGACACCCACTTATTGAGAGTGTCAACCGTATCCTGTGTTTTCTGAAAATCCACTGATTCCACAGTTGAGTCAAAGAGACCGCGCAATGTGCTCTAATTTTCATCCAATACTCTCACATTTATTGACGCAAAGATACGATTTGCCGTAAATAAATTCACATTCTTGGATTGACCAATATCTTTATGCTGCTCATAAAATCGTACCATCGCCTGACGGTCAGACTCGCTTTTGATTTGTAGAAATTCAGCGATCTCACTTTCAGTAGCGCCACTCGAGCTGCGCTGCATTTAAAAGTGATTTCACTAATTCCAAAGGATGAGATTTTTTTTATTGATTGCGACATCGATTTATGGACGTTGGCTGTCCTTTCTTAATTCTGTTCTCAGCTGTCCTGAACACATCTGCCTAACTCAAGTCACCTACCCAACTCATAAACATAAACTCTGAAGCACAGAATTCGCGGTCTAATTAAATTCCATGGCAGCAAAAACTCGAAGAGCGACTTTGAAGTTAAGGTCAGCCAGGTTGCTATATATATATGTATATATGTATATATCAAGGAACCACTTGGGAAGTTGAAAGTCGGTGTTGACATTGTTTGCCTGCCAGGCATTTCGTCTAATTGTATCTGTTGAAAATATGTATATAAATATTTGAAATATTTCTTTTTAATTGCACAAAGTCGAAAAGTTTGTTTTAAGCCTTTTCGGCATAATTACCGTAGAGCAGCGCCCATTGATGATGCGACTCGCGATGATGCGACTCGCTGCTGCATCAATCGAGTAGCTGTTGCGACGCTTCTGTTGCTGACAAGGATTCTAGACGTGGGGCAGGAGGTCTGCTGTGTCTGTGCTCTGTCGTTGCATATTCAACAGCCAAGCTCCGTCAGGCAAAAATATTACATAATTATACAAAGTAAGGCAAACACACACACACACACAAAGGCGAGCATCTGAAGGACTGGCTGGCGTTTTGGTGTTTGATGACCCTGTTTATGAATACGTTAGCATTAATTAACTTTGATTTAATTAAACGTACCACGGCCCAGGACCCTGCCACGGTCACTTGCCAGGCCCAAGTCCCAGTCTCAGTCAGCCAGCCTCAACTTATCAGCTCGACTTGGCTGCCACTGCTGCTACTTCTGGTTAATCTTTTAACCAGTTGCTGTGCGCGTTGCGCCTTTTGCGGTTTGGCACCAAAAGCTGGCAGCCAACGCAGCCAACTGGAAGAACAGCAGCAACACGAGTAAGTGTAAGTCAAAGAGTCCTAGCTGATTCTACCTCCTTTTCTTGGTTTTTTTTCTCTTGTCTTGGCTTTCTTCAAGTGGAAAATCCTTTTGCCTATTTACGTGGCCTTAACAAGTCAACACCAAAGGCGTTGCTGGAGCCGCATTTGGTTGTCTTTTGGCTAAGCCCTAATGTATTTTACATAAGGTTTTTGTTCTTCCAGGTTATATTTGACTAAAATAATGATACGATTACAAGAGATAACTTGAGGCTAAGAGCTGTTGATGGTATGAATGTGAGGCTTATTACAGGAAATATGTTCATGTGGGAATGTGTTTAATGTTATTTTCAATAAGGACCTATCGCACTTTCGAGTAAAGGAATTTCCCTTTGTCTCAGGCGACGCTAGAGTTCGACCCTGGAGTCTTATAATTGGAATAAGATATATTCGTATTCTAAATATATAACTAGTCTGGCAAGTTTCATATAGAATGTGTTAAAATGTATATAAAATTTGATTAAACTGAGATCTTCTTTATAACATTTACAGTTAAAAAATTTTGAAAGAAATGGGAGAACTCAACACTTTTTTAATATTTATTTTATTATAATAACACTAGAAACTCACACACTTAGCCTTAAAAATATATAAATTCTGACTAGGCAAAACATTTTTTTTAATATTTATTAAATATATTCAAAGAATACAGATTTTTTGTTAGAATCACCTGCTTTTTAAGCGTACATTATTAATACGGGCAGTTGCAAATTTGTCACAGAAATTTAAAAAAAATGCGATTAAACTTAGCTCAGAATATATTTTTAAAATATTAACAGAGAAAAGTCTCTTATGCATAGAAAATCTTGGAAAAAATATATTTAAGAACACGTTTTGTATATATTTAATTTAATTTAACACACACTTAGAAAAACTATTTAAAAATGTAGATTATGGGGCTGATTCTGATGCGTTCCCAGCAAGCATTTCATACTCCACTCTCCTTGCTCTATGCTCCATTTTTCTTTCCATTATTTAGTCACGCTCTGTCGTGAATAAATTATGGATACTAAGAGAAGCTAGTCTTAAGTAGAGAAATCTTTTGGAAATATATATAAAAATTATGATTTGACTTAGTGCTAACTAACATCAGTTACTCTCCTACATCCCTTTGCCTTTGCCACAACTTGAAATGCTTTGAATAACTAAATGCGTCTCACTTTCGTGGCCTTGCAGCCCCAGTTTTTATTCTAGTTCTGTTTACATACCGAATACACTAGATCTAATTACATATGCGCTTTGATTGTGCGGCCCACTCTCTGCCTCTCACTATATCAGTTGCTGTTTCTTTTATGTGTGTGTGTGTGTTTGTGTGTATTTTGTTGGCTGCTTTCATAAATTAATTAATTGGCCTGCGGCTGGTCAACAACGGCAACAGGCAAATAAATAAGCAAAAATATTTGCTTTAATTTATGTGGCGAGTGGCAAGTGGCAAGCAGACAGAGACCAACTGGAATCGAGTGACTGAAACTGAGACCCTTTGGCCTAGTTACACATACTCTCTACCCGCCTCGCTCTCTATATCTGGGCTCTGGCCAAACCTGCCTGCTGTCCGCCTGCGCCTGATGCCATTTACAAATTGCATTAGATTAAAGCGCGATAAAACGCGGGACGCGTTCACTTGGCATGATTTCGACTTATTTGCACTTACAAAAAGGCCAACTAACAAGGCGGGCAGGGAGCTAGCGAGCGAGCGATGGTGGCCTGGTAATATTTCCACGCCTTGCACATTTTATAAAAAGCCAGTGCTCTTCGAATGGGGCATGTAGAACATGGTTAATTAGCAATTAATGAAGCGATAATGAAGCCAAGATAAACGACAACACACTGACGTCGACGTCGACGATGATTATGACGATAATGGTGATGATGATGATGATGATGATGACGACAACGAGGCTGTTGATATGGCATCAAGGGGCCCAGTGGAGGGCTTCATGCCGCTGAAGACTTTGGCAGGCCGAGACCAAACTTGGTCTGTGTGTGTGTGTGTGTGTGGATCCAACGGCCTTGACGAGGACTCCATGCTTTGAGGATGCTGTTGCGGCTGCGGATGCGGATAAGCGGTAGCTGCCTGTTGGCTTGTTTTTATTTTTTAGGCAGCTGCTGGGCATAAGCAGCTTCGCTTTTTATTTTTGTTTTTATTTTTTACTTTTTTCGCTTTGCCAGCCGTAAAATAAAATGTGTTTTTTAAGGGTCTCACTTGTTATGTGTGTGTGTGGCTTGGGCGCGCGAAATTGTATCATTTCCTTGGAAAAAAACATTTTGTTTTCAGGTTAATTAGTTTCCCGGCACTGGGCATGAATATTTCCTGTCACTTGCAGTGGCAAAAGGCGTTGCCAATTAGATTCGCCACGAAGGTTAGAAACCCACAGATCGACACACAAGACAAATGTCCTTGGCCAACAATATTTTGTTCAACTTAAGCAATCTCTTAATTATATACAAATTCAATGAGTACGCTGAACATAGAAATATACAGACTAAAGTTGTTTATTTAAACAAAATGAAGAGAGAACTGAATGTATTTTGCCTAACTAGTTTTTGGGCTGGGAGCTTATATTATTTAAAAAAGGTATCTAGTTAATTAAATATAAGACTATTTCTTTCATCAATAAATATGCTAATTTATGGAAGTAGCTAAAAAATATTTCTAATTTATTTTGTATACAAAAACTCTTAAATTTCAATTCATTGCAAAAGTAAATTTGGTTAAGAAAACAGGTAAATAAATTTATATTTCATTTATTATTTTAGACAAAGAAAAATGTTTTTAATATTTTACTAATTTATTTAGATGTGTAAGTAAATAAAATATAGGTATCATCTCAGGCAATTACATTTTTTAACAAATAAGTACTATTTAGAAAGCACCTAAGTAAACGAATCTCTTATATATATATATATATATATATTTATATATATAATATAATATATTTATATATACATATATACACTTATATTTCACTGTTTCGATCGTTCATTAAAATATAAAAAATTATGTATTAGACCAAAATATTTTTTTATTTATTTATATTATATTACTCTTATTTATGTATTTATAATAATTGTTATATTATATTAATTATTATTAAAATTATTTCTGATATTTTGAATAATAAATCTGAGTTGATATTTTAATATATCTTTTACGATTTCTATATCTCATCAATCATAAAATTATCAACAATTCATTCACAGTTGAACATGTCATATAAAATATTTTAAATTAATTGTATCCCTGTTGTCCGTTGCTGCGTGGTTCCCCCAAATATCTTTGGCACTTATCAAAGCCGGTATACAATTTTTCAATGTAGTCATAATCGGGCCATCACATTAGCTACCAATTCTTTCGCCACAATCTAGCTGCCATACTCGAACAGCGAAGACATCGCTGGCCAAGCTGCTGGCTGCCTCGAGCTTATGACAGCAACAGCAGCAACAGCAGCAACTGCAATCCCAAAATGCGATCTAATTTTCATGTTATTTGATAGAAAACTCTTGTAGAAATCCGTTTGTTGCTCAGCGTTGCTCTGTGCGCAGTCATGCCAAGAATTTATCACACAGCAGCAAACTTTTTGAGTTGCATCAGTCGCTGCGAGTGGCAAAAAGGGGGCCTGTGGTCGGTCCATGTAACATGGATTGACTGCAGTGTCTAGCCATTGCAGCCGCCTCAGCCACCTTCACCGCCGTCACCTCTTTGTATATTATCAAAAATGGTGTATCTGTGGCTGAAGCTTCCTGAATCTCATATCGGGCATGGCAAACATGTTGCAAGTTGTTGCTGGATGCTTCACTGGCGATCGTAACAACAGCAACTGTTGCCGTTGCTGCTGTTGCTGTTGTTGCTGCTGCTGTTGCTGGCGCTGTACGAGATTAAACAATGATTGCATTTTCATTTGCATTTTAAGTCACGGTGCAAGCAAAACCAAAGCATAAGAAGTCGAGGGTCGGGATCTCACTTGGCAAGTGTTGTTGCTGCTCCCCGTCGCTAGAGATGTGCGTTGCTTGCCCAATAATAATATGAGCTCGTCCATGGTCGTGTCACGCCGCCAGCTCTAGCTGCAATTGCAGCTGCCTTTTTACAGCTTGACTTCCACTTGGGGGCCGAGAAACAGGTTTGCCAAAACTAAACACATGCCGCCAGCATCGCTTGGCTAAGATTGAAATGCAAATCAGTTAATGGTGTTCCTGTGATGCTGTTGCACTGCTGCACTATAGCAAGGGCAAACACCATTCATTGGAGCTGATGTACGTGTTTGTCTGCTTGCCTGCCTGCCTGCTGCTGTTGTTATTTCTACATACATATATATATATATAATTGACTTGGCCCTGGCCAACTTGTACGGCATCCTATCGCAATCCGTATGACCCATAACTCAAATGGCCAAATGTTTGGCTTTAATGCTGCCTTCATGCTCATAAAAATGAAAATTTGTGCGACAGCAACCAAAGCTCGGGAGCGCAGCGCTAATCTTTGTCATGTAACAGCTGCTCCTTTTTGCCGTTTTCGGCAGTCCTTTGAGTGGGCGGAACACTCATCTCGATTACGAGGTGTAAATTTACTGAAGCACATAAAGCCATTTGGCGCGAGTGTCCGCTCTCTAAGCCCTCCCCAGACCATGGCCCAGCTCAAAAGCCAATTCATATATTTACCGTTTTGCCAGTCGACTTTAGGGGCGCATTATGCACTAAGCTTTTCGGACATTCAATGCTAGGAACCATCAACGGCCCCTACTTTCATCATCATCATCATCATCATCATGTGAGTGGGGTAGAGTTTTATATATTTTGATGATATGCGGATTGTTGACTCATTTCAGCTGCTAGATAAACGCAGCAAATGCCCGTCGTGTCCTTGCAGTCCTTGATTAAAGTACTCACCACAGTTGGCTTTGATTGAGTGAGCCATTGGCTATGCTGGACTAGTAAGAAATGCACTAATGCAGCTAAATAAAGTTCAAAGGTAATAATCAGCTTTTGTAGGGGGTGACCATGTAAGAGAGGTAAAACAAGAAAGTGCAATTAAGCAAAATTAGCTGAAGATTTTATAATGTTTATTATTTTATTTGAAAGCTACATTTATGCCGTTATATGAGTAAAAGCTTATCATTCAAATGATTGCTATGGTTTTAATGGTAAGTCTCTAGCTTAAGGTTCAAATATGGTTGAGTCAGTGCAATGCATGGGGTGGTATTTTGGCAACTTTAATGTTGCTTAAGAACTATTCCAAAATGGTTTTGGTTTATTAGCATAAGTTAAGGACTTCAGTTTGCTCTGCAGAGTATAAAGAAAATATATTGAATTGCACATCATCGAGGATCAATTGGCTCATCCAG